TATATATAGAGAACGCGTAAGAGGTGTAAGAAGACAGAGTGCCGAATAACCACGAGGTTGGGAAATACGGACTTGTTGTGAGCAAGCACCGGACGTTGAAACAAAATCAGCCGCCGCAGGTGCTAGGTTTTCATTTCCTGAAGCAGAACGAAAGTTATGGAAGAAGAAGACGAAATGGGCAATAACACTTGGGCCACAAGTTGTGACAATTATGTGGGCTTAATATTAAAAGTCGTGGCCCAAGTCTTGTTTTAACGTACATGAAGACGTTGCCTCGCTTCATTTAAAAAAGGAAAACAAAAACAAAATCTTGTCACAAACACGTGAGCAAGTGGGCTACAAGCTTAAATAATAGAGGTAAAATCCAGCGTGGTATTACATGGTTATGGACCTCTCTAGATAAAAAAAAATAGGGGCTGAGTCTACAAGAAAAATAAAAGATTTAGTATTTATTTTCTCTACTTGCGTTCATTTTTCCACAAGGTATCATGTGGATCTGGATGTTTCCGGGTCAGGAAATATCGAAGATCTAGACTTCTCTACACATCAAAGAGTATGTATACATACATAAATCTGAAAAGGCAATTTGTCAAGTCTAAGCGATACGTCGCCAAACGAAGTCCACCACACCAAGCTCTAAGTTAACTACTCTTCAAGTTTTAAATAAGAAATTAAAGAGTGGGGGGCAAAGTGTTGGGAAAAATAAATTCACTACATCGTAGACCTCGGTTAGTGCTGGTTAGAATATTAGACTTGGCTCTACACTATTTAGGCCTGGTCTAATAAGCTGATGACATGCTATTACCTGCCAATACCTCATCTATGTCAGGTAGAACGAGGTCCTAACTGGCCTCTACCTGACAATACATCATCAACGTCAGGTAAACTGAAGTAATAACTCGCCTTTACCTGACGATACGTCATTTACGTCAGGTTGAACGAGATCATAGCTTACTGATACCTCACGAGGGGTTGTCTACACGAGATAAAGTCAGATAATAACCTGACTAATACCTGACTACACGTCGTCTACGACATGCTAAACGATGTAATAACTTGCTAATACATGACAATGCNTNATGTATGTCACGTAAAATGAANGAATGACTTGTCAGTAGNAAGTGAGACCTCGTTACTTTGTTGTTATCAAGTCGTGGACGCCGTTACGACGTCGTTACAAGGCTAGTTAAGTTATTTGATATAAAATAAATACAAGTCTATTAAGATAACTTCGCATGGACTTGGCGGTNNGAAGTACANCGAGGTCCATCANTATCTTGACTTCATAATATGAAGAGGTAAATGATTAGAGTATATAAAAAATCCCAATTATTAGGGAGATAATCATGACGTCAGGTCTCATCTTAATCCGAAAAGGATTTGATCACGTCTTATAAATAGGGACATCCTAGAGAAGAGGAGGACATCGAAAAACACACATAGAAAATCTAAGTGCTACATCTTCACAGCATCCCAGCGATCGCAACCAGAGACCTAGCCTTGTTTTCCACATCCAACGAAGTCCTTTATAACGTTTTAGACATCTAGACGTTGTAATACCATTCGGCTACAAGCCTACTTCGTTGATTAATAAAACGATACTTCTCTCTATCATTCCGTAGTTCTGTGTACTTACGAACTTGGTTAAATTTTCCCGAAACATAACCTTAGGGGAGCCTTAACCCTCACACAGTGAAAAAACTGGTTCGTATGTAACGTCCAAGAAAGAACGAAATTAATTGTGGGATGTTCATTATTCTGTTGTGTGTGGATTTTTGTTGAGGATGCGGTTATACCTCACATGAAGTTTCAGTATATATATCTCAAAAATAAAATTAAAAAGTATTATTCAAATTGGTTTTTACTGAAAATTAATAAAAATTGACAATATGGCTACTACAGAAATTATGATAGAATGTTACTAAAAATTATCGTTTTATACATCTTTTTAATTAAGGAATTTACAGGAATACCTTATATTTTCAAAGGTGATCATTTATAAATAAATTATTTAAAGAAAAAAATAGAACTTTATACGATTTTAAATTATTTCAGATAATACTCAATGCTAAGCTTTATACCACTTATATTTTCAACTAATAACTTATCATATATAAACTAAATATATTTTAAAAAATAAATTATAAGAAAATAAATTTTAAGCAAATTAAAAGTAGCTAAATCCTAAAGAGGGGGAGGTTTAACCCTAGGAGAGCTTTAACCCTCACATAGTGAATAAAATTGGTTCGTATGTAACGTCCAAGAAAGAATGAAGTTAATTGAGGGAGGTTGGTTATTCTTTGGTGCGCGATTTTTGTTGAGGATGCGGTTATACCTCACATGAAGTTTTAGTATATATCTCAAAAATTTACTTAAAAAATATTATTCAAATTGGTTTACTAAAAATTACTACAAATTCACCATATGGCTACTACAGAAATTAAAGATAGAATGTTACTAAAAAATTATAGTCTTATACATTTTTTAATTAAGGAATTTTTAGGTTTATCACGTCCCTTCTCTCGAGCACGTGCACTTTCAAATACTTGCTAGATCCCATACAAGGAGTCTTGAGAACAACACCAACATGAAGCAAATATTTCCTTCCCCATATTCTCTATTCATTAGATATAAGTTTAAATTGTTGTTCAAATTGTACGTAATGATCTGTTTTACTCACATTGATAGCCCTTTCCAATCATCCAACACCTTGAGAAGGTCAACTTTCTTGTTACCAAGTGTATTTAACTATCTGAACAAAAAGAAATTTGTTGTGAACGTGCTGAATGAATAAATTGTACATGCAATATCAAAGAATTTATTTTAAGGGGATGATGATATTTTAAATCTTTAATTTTGTAGATTAATGAAAAAAATGTGAACAAGAACATAAACACTCCAAGACTCGGGAACTATCAAAACACACATTGCCACAATGGCCAACCCTCTCTAATTGATGCCCAACCCTCTCTTATCCATGAAATGTGAAGTTTATAATGTACTTGCTATTCGGAGTGCTCGGTCTTAAGAGT